ACCGAATTCAGGTTTGCTCCCGCTTTATTTTTAAATACGCATACGGTACTTGTATGCGCCCTATGGTCCAGTGCGCCTTATGTGTGTGTTAAATACAGTAAGGGCACACATAACTAACACTGCGCCTTTTAGCACAGTGCGCCTTATGGTCGTGAAAATACGGTAAGTACACAAACTGTCTGAAGTGCAAATATATTTATCTTAACACTTGTAATATAGTCAAAGTCACTCAGCAAGAGATACTCACCCCGCGCCGGCGGCTGTGTTTGGGAGCAGTTACATTTTTGGTGACTGGGTGGCCTTTGTTAAGGCCAACAGCCATAGGATAACGAATAGCCATGTCTGCGGAGGATCACACACAAACATTAAGACAAGTGCAAATGATGAGGCTTTAACTAGCTGCAATCTCACATGATCAACATATCAGAACAAATACTTTAGTATGCAATAGCAGGAAGACCAACACCGACAACAGGCTCTTGTCTAAGCTCTATTGTAAGCAGTGATGGGAATAACGGCGTCCATCGCTTTACTTTACTGCAAAGGTAGCTGTAGCTCAGGAAGTCGAGCAAGATGTAAGGTCAGTGGAATCAATTCAACCTCATTAAAAAAAAAAAAAGCACTGTGTGATATACACACACAACAGACCAATTACTCTCGTTCAATGGATGCGACCTGCAGATTAGACAATAACTGTGTGCAAAAAGAATGTTAGCAGGAGCTTCTGGTTCTTTTGAGCGAGCTATTTGAAACAACACCATAATTTGGTCTCAAAAACATTTCTTACAGTGCTAACAGGACTCCAAATCTCCGTTTAACAACCATAATCTAAACAGGTCAATGTCGGTGGAAGCTTAAGCATCACAGTTACACTGAGTGAACGCTGATTACTAAAATGTGCTCTGCTGCAGCCACCTTCAGTAAAAACTCTTGACTTGGACTCGCCATGTAAGACACGCGAGGTAGCCTGGAGCAATCTGCTATTTCATTTCCAATTTTGAGGGTACAAGCGACCTACTGGCGCTGATCCGTCACATCGGGCCGGTAAAGCTTTAGTGTCCACCAGACTGTGCGACAGCTCCCTATGAGCCCGCAGGTCTGCTCGCTGCTTTAGTTTCTCACTACAACAATATTCAGTCTGCGCTCGGAAGCACCGATTTCTACGCACTCAGGAACATAAGGAAAATGGACACGACTGACTAGACGCCACATTTTCTTCAATTTCATATAATACGGTGCTACAATACTGAGCTGAGACGTAAAGTAAGGTTAGTAGTTACTAACAGTTTCAACAAATCTTCTAAAACTCGACGGATGGCAAAGATTAAAAACGGCTTTTGGCTAAAACTTCTCGACATTAAAATCGTACCTGCTATCTTTGATGGCGGTCAGGCCGGAAGGACTGTTGCGTGAGCTAAACGGGGCAATGAAACCCGGAAAACGCTTCTGTTACGCTGGCGTGACAGCGCGCCCTGCTGCCCGGGAAGAGAAAGTGTTTTTCATTTTAATGGGGTTTTCTCATTTCACTAATCTGTCTCTGGAATCAGTCTATGTACACTATGTTAAAGGTCGTTTTATTCCTAAAATGCATTTGGAGGTTAGAGGATGGTTAGAGGATGGAGGAGGTTGTGATGATCCACAGCTTTATCCTTTGCAAAAGTGTTTCTAATCTTCACCGAGTTTGGTGCATCAGTATATAAAATCCATAGCTCTTAATATTCTAATACAAATACCATTGTTGTTTAGTGAGACTTTTGATTAGCTGTTTAGTATTAGCATAGTCCAAAAGCAAACCAATCCCCCAAGACAACAAAATGGGGCATAGTCCAACACAAAAAGTTCAGAGGGCTAACCGCAGGTCCAACAGTTCAGCAATGGAACAGTTCAGGTAGGCAGCAACAATGGCGAAAGACTTTTGGTGGCCAGCAACGGCGTGGCATGACAGGTGACCAGCAACGTGCTGGCAGTGCAGATTGTGACTGAACTGGATGTGGCTTGGCAGATCATGGATGTGTAGGCCATAGCTTGGCAGGACATTGATGTGCAGACTGTCTCGCTCAGGCATGGCAGGTCGTGCACGGCAGGTCCAGGCAGTGCGCTGTCTTCCGGCTGGGGTGTGGCAGGTCCAGGTGGCACACAGATCTCCAGCTCGGTTGTGGCAGGTCATACGGTGTGCTGTCCTCCAACGTGGGTGCAGCATGTCCAGGCAGCGCGTTGACCTCCGGCTGAGGAGTGGCAGGTCAGATGGTGTGCTGTCCTCCAGCTTGGGCGTGGCAGGTCCAGGCAGTGCGTTTAACTCCAGGTTGGGCGTGGCATGTCAGGCACGGCAGGTCCAAACGGCACG